AGATTTTGGGAGCTAAAATCATGCGGATATGTTGACAAAAGCAGTGACTACCGACAAACTGGAGTTGTGCACAACTTCAGTTGGCCTTCACGCGTAGGAGATGAAGGCGGAGCCACATTAGGAGGATCGACGGGATTGCCGAGATGATATTGATTGAAGAATGGATTTTTTCGGGTAGGAGAAGATGCATGCGAAGAAGGCAGGAGTTGAGCTCGTTGATGGCAGTTTCGTTTCCAAGTGGAAGATTGTTGGTTTTGGAAGTGTGAAGACCGAAACCTAAAACAAATCCGCGAGGCTGAAAAATCTTGGGTTGGTCGACCGTCGGAGTGACCCCAGTCGACCAAAGAGACTACAAAAAACGAGCTTAGGAACACGCTCTGGCTGGTCGACCGAAGCTGTGTTGTCGGTTGGTCGAGGGTGACAAATCAGTCGACCGAAGGTGATGAACCGATCGACTGAAAAGGTGCACAAAACCCCTATAAGAAACTACTTTCTAGCCAGTCGATCGACACACATGGTCCGGTCGACCGGAATTGGTTTTTTCAGTTTCCTGATTCGTTTGGGGAACCGATACTATATATACCTTGATATGTTTTTTGGGTTTGTAGAACACAAAAAAGAGAGTTTTTGACGGCACTTTGAGATCAGAGATCTTAGAGAGAGAGAGAGAGGCATATTGTGAGCATTGTAATATTCTTCAATTAATCAAGTTTTTGTGGTGTGGCTCCCGAGGACGTAGGCACATTTACCGAACCTCGTTAAATCTGGTGTTCTCTGGTTTGATTATTCTTTCCTGTAAGTTTTTCTTTTATTTGTGGTGATTTTCCTACTTGTTAAACTCTTAGCATAAGATCAGGAAGGGCACAGGTTCGATTGTGTGATTCGAATCCCTAACATATATGAGAGTGAAAAAGTCAAAACTATTTCACCCAGGGTCTTTATTATCATAATTAGGGAGAGAAGATTAGATTTTTGAGGGCTCTGGTGCATGGGGTATTATTTCTCCACTAATGGTTTATTATCACCCGTTATACACTTATTTTCCACATAGTTTTTTAGTTTATTTAGACAATCATTACTAACATCTCTCATTTGGCCAAATTATCCAACTGATATGTTTCCCATTATCCGTGAGATCAAATGTTTTATTCATACTTCCACTACCCGTGATGAGTATTTCTTATTTTATTATTCATGAAGTTTAGTTTGACTTGTAATTCCTAAATCTCATCAAATTCATGTGTTTAATAAAAGATTATGCTATTCTCTTTGTCAAATGATCAACAATCATACGTGTAGTAAGGATGTAAGTCACTTTCACTTCTTTCTTTTCAACAATATCTCGAATATAGTGATATTGGATCCCAATGAGTCTTTATTAGAAATATTCACTCCACTATTGATTAGGCTAATCGTTGTCTGACTATCACAATAAATATCAATAGGTCTTTCTAACTAATTGAATTCTAGATCAATCAAAAACCACCTTATCTAGATAGCATGCGTAGTTGCCATATTGCAATCTACATATTCAGCTTCCTGTGTGTATCTAGCACCTTTGTTTCTTAATATTCCAAGAAACAGCTCCTCCAAATTTGAACAAATGTCCCGAAGTGGACATTCCGTCATCTTTATCACCTCTGAAATCAACATCAGAGTAACCAATAACTTGAAGCAAACTCGCTTAATAAAACAATCCATGAGTTAATGTGCCTCTGATATACTTTATAATCCAATAACTTTCCAATGTAATGGTCCCAGAGTACTTTGATATCGGTCACGTAGACTTACAACATAAGCTAAATCAAATCTGGTGCACAATATAGCATACATCAAGCTTCGAATTGCTTGAGCAAAAGGAACATCTAATGACTTTTATCCTTATTCAGGGTTTTGCTCTTTACACAATCTCTTTCCTATAACCAATAGAGTTGGTGCCGGATTGGAATTCTTCATTCTAGACCTTTTAAAAACTGATCTTAAATATTTTTCCTGGTTTAAACTTAAGATTCTAGATATTCTATCTCGCATACTTTGAATTCCAAGAATAATGATAAAATTAAACCTCCGGTGTTTGTGAGTTCAAAACAACAATACTACAACGGGTCGATGTGCAATTAACCCTAAAAACATACCCTTAATGATAAAGTTAACAAATGAGATGACCAGCTTGTTAAGCTAATCAGGCCTTTAACAACACTCTAATCAAGATGCTTGCTTGAATAAAAGTGCCCCAATACACGCACACAAACAAGCCTTGAAGCTACCCCTGTAAGTATTAGCTAATTTAAAAAGAAAAAAACAGGTTGCAGACAAACTCTGACTTAACATAAAACAAAACCTAAAAATGTTGACTGAGAGCTCTCTAGATGACAATAGAGGGGTCAGTTGGGGGTTTGATTTCTCCAACTTCAGCTGGTTAGTTTATTAAATTCTTATATATGCAATGTTTTTAAGAATTTTTAAATTTTATAGACCCTCTTGAAAAAGACGGGATGCGTTTAATTTGGAGTTGTTTTTATTCCTTGTAGAAGACTCTGTAATCTTTTGATTTAGTTGTTGTTAAGAGAGAAAAGTGTATGTAGTCAAAGGTTGTATTTAGCTCTTTCTACTTTAACTTTACAATGAAATTTAGGAAGGGTTTTATTTTAAGTAGTTAGAACAACAAAACAAGTGTAGTTACCACGTTTTAAAATATCTTTTTAGACTATTTTTTTCATGCCGATTATTAGGATATAGGTTGTGTGTTGGAGACTCGGAACTATTGTGTTTATATAATAAGAATTCTTTTTAATTATTAGAAAATCTCGTTCGCCTATGTTTTTGTTAGAGCAATATGCATAGATTGATAAACCATCAGTATCTAGTTTTCTTTTAAGGGCATGTTTGGTACATTTCCATAAAAAAAAGAAAACACAAAATCATGATGAAAACCATTTCAGAACATTTCAGATGGTTTCTCATATTTGATTTATTTAGTTTGTTACTTTCACCATGAAATCATACGCTGAAAAGCATTGTTTTCCATTTCTTAGGTTTGTTTCAACATCCAAACATACAGAAATCTTACCCATTTCAACCACTTTAGTCACTTTGGGTCTCGAAAAGGTGAGTGGGACAATATTTCATTACTCATTAAATACATTTCTCACTCATTTCACTCACTTTGGGTCTACAATGGATTTTCTACAAATTCTGACGTGGCAGCACATTTGACACCTCCATTTCTTTAAATTATTCAACGAACCAAATGCTAGAAATGGAAATGGGTAGAAATCAAAAACTGATATGTCTCCGTTGTTAGATTTCAAAAGCTCCATTTCTCTTTTTTTTTTTGAGCAAACAAATAGCCCTAAGAAAAAAAATATCTTGATCAGGTAATCTCTATTGTTCCAATCCCACCACTGTGTATAGATGTTTTATTAATAAAATATCACATACATAAAATATATACATGGATAATTTTTTTTTTTCAAATTATCAAAATCTTAAAATTTTTGGGTTTTTAAGATATTCCTCCCTCAAATCACCTATATTTTGATATAACTCTCTCAAAAAGTGATAATGCCTATTAGCTTTTTACATCATTTAAGTTAGTTAAAGTAGCTTCATCTATTAGTAATAGTGCATTTGCAATATATCATGGG